GGAAGCGCCCGTGAGGCTCCCTTGAGGTGCTACAGGGGCCCAGGGAGATGTGATAGGTGAGTAGGGCGACCAGGAGGAGGAGGAGGAGGAGGAGGAGGAGGAGGAGGAGCAGGAGGAGGAGGGGGAGAGAAAGAGAGTGAGGAGGCGGGGAGGGACATGGCCCAGAAACGTGGCATGTTGGTCGTGGGGCGTTGCGCGGGCCCTGTGGCGTGTCAGATGCTCACCGGGACGTGTCACATGGGCCTGGGGGTGTGTTCTGTGGGCCCGGGGGCGTGTCATATGGGCTGGGTGGGGGGGGGGGCTCCACGCTGACGGACATGCGGCTCGCAAGTTACATCTTGCCGATAGGTCGTTCTGTACCACAGGTCAGGCGCAGACGTGCGGATGTGCAGCAGTAGAGTGCAGACATCCTTGTGAGGTTGCAGCCGGCCCAAAGGTACAGCTCAACGTTGAAGATGGCAGCAAAGTTAGATTGGCAGTGGGTGGATCTCATTCAGCATGTCATGGCTGAAGCACGGCAGTAATTCAGAGGCTCAGCGTACACCGAGGGGGCGAAGTGAGACGGAGAAGGCTCTCAGAAGGCGGCGGGGCTTCTCAGAAGCGCTCCCGCCTTCCTAGAGGAGGCTGTGCCTTCGGGGGAGGCTTCGACAATCTTTCATAAGGCTGGAGGACTTCCGAGCCTTCTGAGAAGGCCCGCCCTTTTTCTCTTCCCCCCCAGGCTCGTCACCGAGAGTTCCAGACTGCAGCGTCGGAGCCAAACATTGGGTGGGAACTGCGACCTGCGAGCGCTGGACACGAGTAGTCCAACGCAGGGGCCCTGATGTTACCAGCCTCGAACTTATCCCTATCCCTAAGATTGGCACGCCAGAAAGCGATGACAATCTTAGGGATGCGCCCTCAAAACATAAGGGAATCCCCAAGATTGGCATCGTGATGAGGATATGCCCAGCATAGGGACAGGGATATGTTCCAGGCTGGTAATGATGGGCACAGAGCCCGCGGACACCTGTTGGCGTGGTGGGCTGATCAAGTCCTGCTGGGCCCGTCGGGCTCGCTGCCACGCGCGCGCACGGCACGTACTCCGCGTCCTGTCCTGCCCACGCGCGCGCACCGCGCACGCCCCCCCACTCGCGACGCACCCCCCTTAGCACGCCCCGCGAAGTGCAGTCCACTTCGACCCTCTAATGCGATCTCCCAAATAAGAATAATAATAACAATAATAAGAATAACAATAGTAATACTCATATTAATAAGAATAAGGAATTCAATCTGCAACTGCACGCATACTGAAGAACTCGTTGTACATACGGCTGCGTCCGAACTCCGCCGATGCAAGTGTTCCTCCTCCCTGCCGCTCTCCATTGCTCTCTCTCTCTCTGTCCCTCTCTCTCCCTCTCTCTTTCTCTCTCTCTCTTTCTCTCTTGCTCTCTCTTGCTCTCTCTCTCTCTATCCCTCTCTTGCTCTCTCTCTTTCTCTCTCTTTCTCTCTCCCTCTCTTGCTCTCCCTCTCTCTCCCTCTCTCTCTTTCTGCCTGCCCGTCTGTCTGCGGGTCGGCGTCGCCGCGCCGGAATATGCCCTCACACCTTCTGTGTGCCTGCAGGGACTTCCAGCAGTTGCCACCTTACCCAGGCTTCGCTACAACGCCGCAGGCTCCGGGAGCCCCGCCCGCCACGGACAGGGAAGGGAAAACAAGAGTGACGTCTTTGTAGCACACCCCGCGCTCCCGTCTCCGTCTGCCCTGCATGCCCCTGCCGTCTTGAGATGCCCCCTGTCGAAGGAACACGTCTACAGGCTGCGCAGAGTGGCTGAAGCATGACTTCTGAACGCCGCGGGAGCCACGCGAGCAAACTGAAGCGCGGGTTGCGCGCTCATGGGGTGGGGGAAGGGGAAGAGGTCGAGGAGTAGGAAGGTAAGGGGGAAGAGGAGTAGGAGTAGGAGGAGGAGGAGGAGCAGGAGGAGGAGCAGGAGGAGGAGGAGGGGGAGGGAGAGGGGGAGGGGGAAGGATTTGGATTGCAAAGCTGTTAGAGCCGATTGCCTGTCAGCGGAGCAGGGGGGACGGAGGGGGGAGGAAGAGGATCGGGGAGGGAATGCATCACCGCTTTTGCTAGTGATTTTGTCTTTGAGGGCTTTTGGGAGAGTTGTGGTTGCCACGGCAGGGTCCAGTTCGACAGTATGCTCAAAACGTCCCCCTGGGGGAGGTCCCGGGCCCGATTGCACAAGGAGGAGGGAAACGAAGAGCAGAAGGGACCCACAACTCAACGAATTTTCAAAAAGCGAGGTGTAGATGTGTCACCATTCTAGGCTTCGGGAGGTTTTTCGGCCCCCCTGGACCGTGTTAAATCGATATTGCGGGGGACACTTGTTGGAACAGGGCCCGGACTTTTAGGGGCCCCGTATTCCCATATTGAAAGCTACACGGCGTCAGAGCTTTGGGGGGGTTCGAGGTGTCTGGATAAAGGACAGGAGCAGCATGGCGACGTTCGGTGCTGGAAGGTAATTTGCGCTCGAGCGTTAGCAAGTCTTCCGTGCCAGGGCCGATGCCGATGTCGTCGTTGACGAGTTGGCAGGCAATCAGGCCGAAGGCGCGGGCCGACTGCAGCGCCAGGGCTTCTTGATGCGCCCCGTGTATAGTTGCGGGTGGATTGCTCAAGCCAGTGCGAATGTTTCAAGAGAGCAGAGTTGACGCCCAGCTGACGATGGGACGCCAAAGTGTTTGCGCTGGCCAGGATGTGCTGGAGTTTAAATAATAGGACAACGTTGAAAGTAGTCTGCCGACGTATTTTTGCTGGCAGGCTGTATTCTGTCCTTGCGCGTCTTCGTTCCCAGGTGTGCCATTTCATGCGGCATAATTGCCGATACGCATGGTCCAGTCCCGCGTCTACTTGCATGTTAAATGCACGCGTGGGTAATGTATTTACTAACGTTAGAGCGAACGGGCAGTGTACCATACTGGCGCTGGCGCCAGCCCCTGAGGAACCGAGTACTACGTCAGAAAATGTGCACGAGTTGTCAGACGTGGGGTTCTTCTGGCGGACAGGCTCTTCGCTCACTGCCGAGGGCAGGATAAGGTTTAGTGGGGGTACCATCGGCATGCTGGAGATCGTGCAGAACAGGATCGCTCGATTTTCGAAGTGCGCCTTCACGTTCATCGTTCCACGCATGTCTAGCGAATTTGAAGATGCAAGGAATGTCATGTCATGGACCACGCAAGTGCAGGGTTGATTTTTTAAACGCACGTATGTCGCGAGACTGCCAGTGGAAGTCTTACCTTGCACCACAGTCACGGTGATCTCCGCATCTCTTCACAGGTAGATGTTGCATGCGCGCAAGCTACGGGCTGGGGCCAGGAGCTAGACTTGCGCACTCTCGCCTTGATCCGACGTTCGATACAGCTCTTTCCTGTGGGGAATGAAGCTCCCGCTTGAGCGCCTTGCAGTTTGAGCTCTCCTGGGCTCTCCCGCGTCCACTTGTGCAGGGTGGGCAAACCACCGTGGTGAAAGCCTTGTCGCCTTCGTCGTCGTCAGCCTTTTCCTCCTCCTCCTCCTCCTCCTCGTCCCTCCTCCTCTCCTCCTCCTCCTCCTCCTCCTCCCCCCTCCTCCTCGTTCCTCCTCCTCGTCCTCCTCCTCCTCCTCCCCTCCTCTCCCCCCTCCTCCTTCTCCTCCTCCTCCTGCTCCTCCTCCTCCTCCTCCTCCTCCTCCTCCTCGTCCTCCTCCTCGTCCTCCTCCTCCCCCTCCTCTCCCCCCTCCTCCTTCTCCTCCTCCTCCTGCTCCTCCCCCTCCTCCTCCTCCTCCTCCTCCTCCTCCTCCTCCTCCTCCTCCTCGACCCCGATCCCCCTCCCCCGCCCCCGCCGGGCAGGCCCCCAGCGCTCCCTCGGGCGGCCGCCCCCTCCCCGCTGCGGGGCACGCCCGGGGAAGAGGGAGGAGGAGCCAGCGACGCGTCCGAGTGTGGGGTCTCGGTGGGCAGCGTGGTGGGGCCTCTTTGGGCGATGTCTGGGGCCTCTGTGGGCAGATTTTGAGGCCTCAGTGGGGTCTGGGGCCTGAGTGGGCAGCGGAGCGAAGCCTCTGTGCGAATTCCAAGGGGGTCTCGAGCGGGAGCGCCTTTCCTGAATGTGGAGGCCCGTCAGGCCAGGGCGCGTCGGAGTGAATTTGGAGGACGCGACCCGCGTGCCTCCCGCAGCTGTGTGGCTTGCCTCAAGTCAGGCGCATCCCTCTTCGGGAGGAGTCTTCAGAGATGGTCAAGAGATAGTCGGGGACGATTGTCTTTTTTTTGCAGCTTGGGATGTGTGTTTGGAGCTTTTTGTCCACCATGTCTTGATTTCTCGTCCAAGATCCGCCTGTATGGGGGACATGCCCGACCTCATGCATGCCATCGGTGGGAGGAGCAGCAGGAGGGCACTGCCCCCCGGGGGCGGCCGCCCCGTGGGGGGGCGGGGGGGCAGGGGGGAGGGGCGTGCTGGCAGCGTGCTGCTCGGGCTCAGGCGTCAGCAGCGCCGGCGTCAGGAGGAGGGCTCCTTCCTCGTGCTCCTCTCTCGTCCTCGTCCTCGCTTCCCTTCCTCGTCCTCTCTCTCGCCCTCCTCTCTCGTCGCCCTCTCTCGTCCTCCTCCCTCGTCCTCCTCTCTCGTCCTCGTTCTCGTCCTCCTCTCTCGTCCTCCTCTCTCGTCCTCGCTCTCGTCCGCGAGGCGCGCCCAGCCCGGGCGAGCGTAGGGCGCCGTGCCCCGCGGCGGGGTGCACGATGCCGTCGAGCCACCTCGCGCGCGGCTTCCGGTCAGACATGCACCGCGTGCCTTCGCTTGCCCTGACGCCGGCGGGTGACGAAGAGCGCTTGTCGCCTTCGTCGTCGTCGGCCTTCTCCTCGTCCTCCTCCTCCTCCTCGTCCTCCTCCTCCTCCTCGTCCTCCTCCTCCTCCTCCTCCTCGTCCTCCTCCTCCTCCCTTCTCTCCCTCCCCCTCCCCCTCCTCCTCCCCCTCCTCCTCCTCCTCCCCCTCCGCCGCCCCCGGCAGGCCCCCCCGCGCTCCCTCGGGCGACCCCCCCCCCCCCCCCCACCTTCGCCGCGGCGGGGCCCGCCGAAGAGCGCCGGCGCGTGGCCGACGAGACCCCCTCTGCCGCTGAGCAGGCGGGCGCCGCGCCGCCGCCGCCGCCAGACGCCGCCGCCGCCAGAAGTCCGCGCGGAGCGCCCGAAGTGTCTGTTGATGCCGTTTTCTCTTCTTCTGCTCTCAGAAGGCGGCGGGGCTTCACAGAGGCCCGCCCGCCGGCCTCCGGAGTAGTTTTCTGTGTCTTCGGGGTGATGGCTTGCACACAGAGCTTCTCAGGAGGCCGGGGAACTTTGCCGAACCTTCTGAGGAGGCCTCTGAAACAGTATCGGAAACAACAGCGAGCGCGCATGCCGCACTCAGCGGTCCACGCCTTCCTGCCCCCCCCACACCAAATGTTCACAGTGGGCGGCGGGCCTGAGGAGTTGCGCTTCGACCGCAGTCTTCCCCGCGCGTGCCAGTCTTGAGTCTGGGGGAGCGGGGGGATGTCCACGGCCCGCGTGTCCTTCGGCCCCCCTGGGGCGCGCTCCTGTCGCGCGGCCGAGCCCGCCTCGGGGTTCTCGCCAAGGGGGGGGGGGGGTCCTGGGGCGAGTCCACGAGCCGATGACGTGACCGCCGATCCCGGACCTTCGAGTGATAGTTTTTGTTGCAGCTCGGGTGTCGTTCGTTCACCGGGGCCTCCGGGGGCCTTCTTAGGACCCTGGGGACATCAAACATGGATCCGGGGCGGGAGAACTAGCCCTTAAAAGGGGGCGAGAATTCCAGGGCCCACTGATGTCAACAATCAATCCAGTGGATCGGGGGAGAAGGAGGAGGAGGAGGAGGAATACGAGTGATGATAATAATAATGATAATACTAGTAGCAGTACTGCTTGTGATAGAAGTCATACTAATCATGATAACCTGACTAAGCATCATAATCATAATCGTACGATTAATACGAATGATAATAGCCGGCCGCTCCTCCGTTGTTCGGGAGTCCCTGTCTGTAGAAGAGGGGGCGTGTGATTGTGAGCGAGAGGAGGATGAGCGGGAGGCGGTGGTGCCGCGGGTGAGGAGGAGGAGGAGGGTGAGGATCAGAAGGGCGAGGCTCGCGAGGATGAGGATCAGGAGGTCGAGGTCCACGTTGCCCTGGATTGACCCTGAACATCCAGGCATCCAGCTCCTCCCGCCCCCATGCTCACACCGCCCCCCCTTCTCCTCCACACCCTCCCTGGAAGTCTCTGGAGGTCGCATGTACGATCGGCCCTGAACGTTCAGGCATCCAGCCCCTCCCGCTCGCATGCTGCCCCCCCCCCCCCTTCTCTTCCACATCCTCCCAGAAAATCTCGTGAGGCCCCTGGAGGTAGTCCCTCCGCCGCCGCCTCCTCCTTCTCCACCACCTCTAACTCTCCTCCTCCTCCTCTTCTTCTCCTCCTCTTCTCATCCTCCTCCTCCTTCTCTCCTCATCCTGCTGCTCCTTCTCCACCTCCTCTTCTCCTCCTCCTCAGCCTCCTCCAGCTCCTCCTCATCCTGTTCCTCCTGCTCCTCCTCCTCCTCCTGCTTCTCCTCCTCCTCCTCGTTCTTCTCCTCCCCTCCTCCCTCCTCCTTTCCTCCTCCTCCTCCTCCTCCTCCTCGTTCTCCTACGTCTTGCTCCTTGCTTATCCTCATCATCATCCTCGGGGGCGATTTGGCGACTTTACGAGGGCGTGTTGAGCGGGAGGCTCAGATTGGTACACGCCCGGGTCGACTTTTGCGAGGGTGTCTCGAGCGAGGCCCCCGGACTGGGATACGCCCGGTGCGCACTGGCGTGCGCCGGCGGATTCCCGGAAATGGTCCTTGGGGGCGCGGTGGGGCCTTCTCTTCCCCCTCCTCCTCCTTCTCCTACTCCTCCTGCTCCTTCTCCTCCTCCTCCTCCTCCTCCTTCTCCTCCTCCTCCTCTTTTTGGGTTCCGCTCTCGGGAAGAGGCGGAGTCGCTCGGGCTTCGAGCGCAAGAGCGCCGCCGGCAGGTTGCGCCGCCCGGGGAGGATCTTGACCCCCCCTAACTCGTTTGGAGTTTGTTTGATGCATGTTTAATGTGGTGGCACCTTTCTAGCCGTTGCCGAGCTCCTCCTCCTCCTCCTCCTCCCTCTCCTCCTCCTTCTCCTCCTCCTCCTCCTCCTCCTCCTCCTCCTCCTCCTCCTCCTCCTCATCCTCCCCCTCCCCCTCCCCCTCCTCCTCGAGTCGCCTACGGCCCTGGGGGGAAACCGTGCACTCGGGGGATGCGACCCGATCCGAGCCCCCTATCGGGGACTCATCGGCTTCAATTTTCACCTCTGGAGAGATCGTCGATGCCGGGGGGTTCACCGCTAGGAGCGATCGAGTAACACAGCTCCCCCCAGGCGGGGCTGGTCGGCAAGCATCGCTTGCACTCAGGGGTCATTTCCTGATTCTTGGGCTTGCGCTACACCGCCGACCCCTGGAGGAACTGGAGGTTGTGGCGTGCTACTCCTGAGGGCCTCTTGGGCGCCTCTTCGGGGCTTCTTGGTGCCCTTTCTGGGCGCTGCATGGCGGCCTCTTGGAGCTTCGTGGAAGCTTCTTAGTGGCCTCGAGGGGCCGAGGGCTCGAAATGTGGGCTCGAGTGCCTCTTCGGGGCCCTTCCTGCGGCAGTCTAGGGGCTCTCCTTGGCCATGTTGGATGCCTCTGAAGTGGTCTTTTCGGGCCGGACGAAAGGGGGGGATTGGGAAAGGGGGGGTTACGAAATCTGCTGCATGCAGCTGGTTTCGGCCCCGCCGCCGGGCCCATTCCTCGATACACCGGCGCCTCCCGGCGCCGGGAGGCGCTGGGAAAATCAGCTACGTGAGCTGATTCTCAAACCCCCCTTTGCTATCCCCTTCTTTCGCCCGGCCCAATCTTTGAGGCCGTGTGGGGCCCTTTTCGCCTGTTTCGGGGCCCTCTTAGAGGCCTCTGGAGCCGTCTGGGGGGATCTTGGGAGCCTTTTAAGCCGTCGTGGAGCCTCGGGAAACCGAATAGGCGAGAACGCTAAAATCTTTCAAAGACGGATTGGAAATCAATGCATGTTGCCTCCTTGGAAGGGCTCTTGGAGGCCTCTCTGGGCCGTCTGGAGGCCATCTTGTCCGTCCTGGAGGATCTCTGTGCCACTGGGGGCCCTCTTGAACCGTCTTGGGGGCCTCTTGGGGGCCTCTTGGGGCCCTCTGGGCTCGTTGTGGGGCCCTCTACAGCCTCCGATGATGCGTCGGGGCCAGGCCTGGGGGATCGGGGCGGACCCCCCTCCGTCCGAATCGACCGGACCGGGGTCGGGGGGCACGGGTCGAGGGGAGGGTATAAGCGTCTCACACGCCGATGACACCCCAAGGGGTCGGAGGGGTTGCGCCCGGGGCACTCTTGGACAATCTACCTCGGGAGCCTCGAGACGGGGGTCAATGCAAACGGGGGTCAGCCAGAGCGCCAGATCCTGCAGGATCCTGCGAAGACCCCCTCTGGCTGACCGTGGTTAGTGAGCCGCTCATGGCCGCGAGGCGGCCGCGCGTATTGGCTGACCTGGGTTTGCGAAGATCTGCGTTGCAGTTTTTTGTTCCTGTTTCCTGCTGACCCGGGTTTGGATTGACCCGGGTCAGAAGATCCTCGACTACCGCGTGCTCGCCATAGTCCCCCCCGGGGCCCACGGCAATCGCGGCACAGCCCGCGCTGGCAGTAGTGATTGCTGCGGCTGACGTTGTCAGTGTTCGCCGTGCACGCATCGGGGAACGGGCGAGGAACGGGCGAGAACACACGTGTACTAACGGCGGGCATTTGTCTGAATACCAGAAGAATGATTCTCGAATGGCCTTAGGCACATTCCGCCACCTTGCCTGGGCTGCGAGTGCGAGGCCACGCGGGTGACACACGGGGTCTCGTGGGAGGCGTCTCGGGGGCGTGTGGGAAGCAGTTTTTGAACCTCTTTGGGGCCTCCTGGGGGCCTTTTGTGAGCTTTTTGGGAGCCTCCCGGAGCTTCCTGGGAGCATGTTGGGGGCTTCTTGGGGCAACTGGTCGGCGGTTTGGGGTCGAAGACTCGACATGTTGGGGGCTTCTTGGGTCAACTGGTCGGCGGTTTGGGGTCGAAGACTCGAAATGTCCGTCCGGGTTCCCCCTCTGGACACCCTCTTGGTGCTGTCTTGGATCCCCCCTGGGCCGTCTTGGGGGCTGCTTGAGCGGTCTTTGGGTCCTGCTGGGTCGTCTGAGAGCCCTCTTTGGGGCCTCTTGGGCCGTCTTGGGGCGATCCAGGAGGCTTCTTGGGCTGTCTGGGACGTTGAGAACGTATAATATGCGAGTGTCCTAAAAATCAAGGTTTTCAAAAGGGAATGGGATGATCTTAGCTTTTTGGGGCCGTCTTGGGACGCCTCTTAAGGCCTTCTTGGGCCGTCTGGGGGGCCTCCTGGGCCGTCTGGAGGCCAGCGTGTGCGTTTTGAATCGATCTTTCGGCGGCTCGTGACCCTCTCGGACCGTCCGAAGGTCCGCTTGGTGCCCTCTTGGCCTGGTTTGGAGCCCTCTGTTCCCCCGTGGGACCCTCCCACCCCTCCACATCGACCGCCACGGGCTCCCGGGGGAAGGGTTTGGGCAGGGGGACGCATCGCACCCGCCGGTGAACCCCAAGGGGTCGGCGGGTTCAGGCAGGACTGGTTTTGACTTTTGCGATTCAGGTGGCCGCCTTGGGGGCCTGTGGTTGGTGCTCTCTCCGGTGGGTGCCCCCCCTGTGGTCGCCGCGATCGTTGCAGGATTCGGGTGGCCGCCAGGCAGGAGGGAAAGAAACACACAGACACAATTAATCGACGATTCCCCAGAAAATATAGGAACATATGGGAAGTGGGGGGGAATAGACAGAAGCCCAGAACATGTGGGAAAATATAGGGATGTCGGTTGTTTCTGTGCATTTGTTTGTGTGTCTGTGGGCCCCTTCAGCCAGGGGGTGCTCCATGGTGGGTGCCGTGCGGCCGCCGCCCCCGGGAGCGGCAGTGCGGGGTCCACGCTGGCGGTCACTCGTGCGAGCATGCGTTGCACCTTCGGGGGCGAAGCTCGGGCTCCCTGCGGGAGCCGCCTTCGGGGCCTGGGGCCATCCCAACAGGAC